AAGGTCTTGCAGTTCTTGAGCGCGTTCTCGTATGCGCCAGCCAAGGCGTTCATGTGGTGACTGTGGAAGGCCTGCTTGACGATAAGCTGCCGGACGAAGACCTTCTTCTCGGTAAGGCTGTCCTTGAGCTCGAGAATAGCATCCTCGTCACCACTGATCGTCATCGTGCTTGGGGAGTTGACAGCGGCGATGCAAAGGCGACCCTTGTAGGGCTTGAGCTCCTCGAGAGCCTTGGCCTCAGTGAGGCCGACAGCCATCATACCACCAGGCTTGCCGTTCTCATTGGGGGCGGACATGTAGCGACCGCGGTAGTAGGCAGCAATGAGGGCGTTCTCAAAGGTCAAGATACCGGCAGCAGCGGCAGCGGCCATCTCACCCGAGGAGTGGCCGACGACAGCGGAGGGAGTGATGCCCCAGGCCTTAAGAACTTCGAGCAAGGCGAGCTGCAGAGCAGTGCAGATGGTCTGAGAGTAGAGGGTCTCGCCGAGAAGAGTAGTCTCCTTGGTCTTGCAGAGTTCCTCGAGGATGGACCACTCGGGCCTGTCGGGGAGCGCCTGAAGAATGCTGTCGCAGCGCTTCAGGCTCTGGCGGAACAGGGGGCTCTCCTCGATCAATTGGCGACCCATGGCAAACCACTGGGCACCCTGGCCGGTGAAGATGAAGCCAAGTCTGGGGGAAGACTTGTTGGCCAGAGTCCACTTGGCGGCAGGGCGGGCAATGGTCAACTGCTCGGCTAGTGATGCTGAATCATTGGCAACAACGAAAGAACGCTGGCCGTGAAGAGTGCGGCGCGTGGCCAGACTGTAGCAAAGGTCGGCGACGTTGACATCTCCCTGCTCAAGGTACTTCTTCAGTGTCTCCTCGGTGAGCTCACCAGCCTTGGCGGAGTGAGAGGTAAGCGGAACGAGGTACGGGCGAGCGTGGACACCGTTCTCGATGGCCGTGACAGAGCGGGTCTTGGGGGCAGCGTTCTTCTTGTGCTCTTCCAAGACAACGTGTCCATTGGTACCACCATAGCCGAAAGAGTTGATTGAGGCTCTTCGGGCAATACCCTCTGGCACCTCCCAAGGAGTCATCTTGGTAGGAACAGCGATCTTCCAGTCATCGAACATGATCTTCGGGTTCGGGTTGTTGAAGTGCATGTTAGGGGGGATCTGTCCGTTCTCAAGCGCAAGAGTAGTCTTGATCAGGCCTGCAAGACCTGAGGCACCCTCAAGGTGACCAATGTTGGTCTTGACGGAGCCGACGTACAAAGGGTTGCTGCGGCCGGGGGAGAAGACTGCTCCGATGGCACGGGTCTCGATCGGGTCACCTGCGGCAGTGCCGGTACCGTGTGCCTCGAAGTATTGTGTGTGCAGCGGGTTGAGACTGGCCTGCTCGTAGGTAGAACGAATGAGGTCCTCCTGAGCAACACTGTTGGGCAAAGTGATACCGTTCTTTCGGCCGTCGTGGTTGCTTCCAGTAGCTCTCACGATGGCGCGAATGTTGTCGCCAGCAGTCTCAGCGGCGCTCTGGCGCTTGAGGATGGCTGCGCAGATTCCCTCACCACGGACGTAGCCGCTTCCTGAAGCATCAAAAGCGCGGCAGCGGCCATCTGTAGACAGCATGCCAAGGTCCGTCATTGTGATGTAGATGTTGGAGTCAAAGTGGAGAGCAGAGCCAACAACGATGGAGATGTCAGCCTCGCCATTCTTCAGCGATTGGTTGCTAGGGAAGGAAGCATGTTAGTTGTAGCACGAGAGAGAGCCACACGATCGCGAACGTACCCGAGATGAAAGCAGACAAGAGAAGACGAGCAGGCGGTATCAAGAGTGATGGAAGTTCCGTGCAAGTTGTAGAAGTACGAGATTCTGTTGGACAGAATGGCGTTACCGGTACCAGTGGCATGGTACATGGGGTAGTTCGCCGTCAAGTCCTTGCCAGTCATGGAAAGATAGTCGTTGGTGAAGCTACCGCAGAAGACAGAAGTCTGAGAGCCGCTAATGTCCTGAAGAGTAATACCAGCGTTCTCCAAGGCCTCGTAGACGACCTCGAGCAACAGACGTTGCTGAGGGTCCATGGCATCGGCTTCCTTTCCAGAAATGCCGAAGAAGGAGTTGTCGAATTCAGCAATATCCTGCTCAAGGAAGTAGCCGAAGCGAGCGTTCGTCTAGAATCAATGCGTTAGTCTACAGATGTTGCGTCTTGTCTGAAGTCATCAACTCACGGTTCCCTTGCGGGTGCCATCAGGGTGGTCTGCGAACAGTGTTAGTCTCTGTGAATTGGTTCAGAGAGGATCAAGGCACTCACAGTAGTTGTCTACGTTGAAGCGGTCCTCGGGCATCTTGCGCTGGACATCTCGCTGAGCGGCAATGTGGTCCCAGAGCTTGCTGGGGTTGGAAGCGCCAGGGACTCGGCAAGCAAGGCCGACGATGACGGTGGGGTCATTCTCAGTGGCGTTGACTCGGGCAGACATTTTGATCGGTTGCGAAGCTGGAAAAGCTAGATTTAGATGAGCTTGGTGTGCTTGGCTGGATTCTTTCGTCTGCTGAGGAAGTGGTCGACAAAGATGATTGTCGATTGTGTTTCGTGATTGAAGGTAATTGGCCAGCTATCAGGAAGGGGAAAAGTTGATATCAAGTATCGAGAGTTGGGTTCAGGGACAAGGGAAGAAATGGAATCTTCCGCGAACAAGTAGGATGCTCTGAATCAAAAGGTAATGGTTGAGGTGAGAGAACCCTGAAACTGGAACTCTGCGATACTTTGCTGGTTGAAGATCATGAAGTGAAGAGTCGAACTGAGTCTATGAGAGATGATGTGTTGAGAGTGATGAGGAAAAGAGATTGAGACGAACTGTAACCCAAGCTTATATGTTTGAAGAGAGGATGTTGATGCTCCCCTATCGACCATGGAGCTCCTCTGGATATTGGTGCCTACCATTGGAGGTATGCAAGGCCGTCTCTGCGCGATGGAGCACTTTCGGCTCCTCAGTCAGAGTATCGCGTTGAAGATTTCCGAAGTTGTCCGGAGACAGGTTCCGGTCAGTTGTGAGCCTCCGAGTGACTCCGGAGGCTACTATTTCGGTGCTCATGATGCAAGTGGAGGCATCGATAGCCGCGGCGCAGTCTGGTGCATGTTGACGGAGGCATTGCTGGCCGAACCCATGGCAAAAGGGTAGGCAACAAACACAAGGGTAAGACGGAATGCAGAAGCGCGGATGCCAATGTGTAGCGGCAAGACGGAGATGATAGGGCTGACGAATAGACGAGCGTGTATCGCGGAGAGCGCCTCACAGCCGCGCCTTGAATGATACAGGACAGCTTCTGCAACGAGTGATTGAAGAAAGACGATGTCCCAAACGGGGGATGGCTTTGAACGAGGTTCGGAGAGGTGGAGAGTTGGGACGGGGCAGCGTCTGTGTGGATGTCATGCCGCCCATCCTTCCCTTGTCAGATGGTGGCTTTTCAGGGGTTCATCCTACGGTACATACGAGGTACAAGGGCGAAGTCGCTGAAAGTATCTGCACGATTTGCACAAGTGGAACTGGAAGTTATGCCAAAGGACCTTTGGATTCGCCAATTGAGGAGATTGATTGACGTATGTATAGGATCGGCGAGGGTCGGTCGAACGAACAGCTCAGGTGCTCAAGCAATGCTGACTGAGGCGGAGACAATCCATGGCGCGTAGAATTAAGAAACTTGGCTTTCGGTTGTGTCTTGCTCTAGCAGATCTCTTCTTTACACTACAGACGCTGCGGTTGTCAAAGTTGCATTGAGCTTTCGTCCCATCTCGTCTTTGTCTCGTCTGGGTTCGTGGAACTGGTCTCCCATCTGATTCGCAATCGGGTGGTAACGAATCCCAAGCTCACGGATTTGACCGCCCCGAGTTGAGACATTTGAGTGTTGATTGCCTACTGATTCAGCTGTCTCGTCTTGGCCGAGGACATGCAGCGGGTGATAATAGCTGCGAGTCTGACATGATGACTGAGCTGCGAATAGGTACTGCGTGCATTCTGCGTGCGTAGCCGTACAATACGAGAAGCTGAACGTGAGAGGATGATTTGAGAAGCAGAGCTGGATGTTTCACTGGCGAGTCTTCGGCTTAGTCATGGACTCTTGGGGCGCTGTGTTGTGGCTTGCCGCAGTCAGGACGGGATCTGGGATGACCGGGGCTATAAGTGGACCCAGAGTAAGCGGGGAAGGCCTTTGTGTTCCATTGGCTCGATAAGCGACCCTTGCACGCTCCGAGGTTCCGCCCCAACTAAGTCGACACCCAGGTGTACTTCTTCGTTCCTCACCCCTCAGGCAGAATCCTTCCCGAACACAGTAAACGACACAGTGTCTCGCACCCAGCACCTTGAGGGGGTATCTGGGGCGGAGAGGCGGGCAGCGAACACAGCCGGGCCTGTTGGTGCATCTTCGCAGCATCAACGTCTCATCGCGCCCTGCACCGTCCCGCTGCTCCCAGCAGGCAACAGAATAACCTCAAGTTCCAACTCACAATGAAAGTCCCGACTCCTGCTGGCACGCATTTTCTCCACTATGCTATTCTCTTGGGTATTCACTGTTTACACGTTTTGCTTCGTTTTGCCTTCTTCGGGACCGAATCCACATTGCATCCTGACATGATCAACATCCTCATCCTCTTTTCGTCTGTCCACACCTCCGACCATCATCTCTATTCGGTCTTTGAACACCCAAACTCCGTTATATGTCCCCTGTCAATCAATGTTGACTACTAATTTCTGCTTAGAATCCCACAACTTGGTCATCAGTTGATACCGACAAGACCTGAAACACAACATGACAATGTGGGAAATTGCACCGCTTCCGCTGCTGAACGCAGTCCCCTGTGAGGGAATTCCACCTGCAGGCCAAGCCGAGGCGACATAGCAGCATGTCATCTCAGCCCTGTGCTGTGTATCGAATTACCGCATACACTGCGTCTATGGCTTTTGTGTCTCTCGCACTCGTCCCGCATGGCACTGCACTGGCCGCCGTTGCTACCTTGCTACCTACATCATGTACCCGTTATCCAGACCCATAAGGCGGCCAGCGTCGAGTGTCTCTCTCAAGCCACCACGCCGCCGAGGTCATGGTCGCAGAAGAAGCCTTCCGCGCTTACATCGGAGTGCAGATACCTCGATTCAGGGCGTACATCCTGAGACAGGGCAGGTATCTCCCCTGCTCTGTGTGATGCTTCCTTCGCCTTCGACGATCTTTCCATTTCGAGGTCAGACCAGACTAGTCCTGCCACACCCCTCGACAGCTACGGAGACCCTAGCGCTTCCTGACTGGCATGGCACCACCTCACGGTTATAGCTTTGGTGAGGAATGGTGCTTCTCGTTTTGGATCACCGCTCAGATTCTATCCGGGGTTCCGCCTGCTCAGTCATCCTTCCGCAACTTCAAATCTCCTCTTTGTTGGTGATGCTTTCCAATGTAAGTACTTTGAAATCACGCTCTGCTAGAGCAGTAGGTCGAGTATCTTACTGGGGTCCTTCCTTCCAACAGACCGATATCGATGGCTTTATCCTTCCGTCCGCTGGAAGACTCAATCAGCAGCTTGGGAGCGAACCTAATGTGCGACTCTTGGAGATTTTCCCGCTGTGCCTCTTCCTTCGTATCAACAACACATCACCGTTCACCAGCAGTCAACCGCCATCTTCCTATCCGCTTCGGGTATGCTTAACCCACAATTCGCTTTGCCATGGCTCGCCATCCGTCTCTAACCTTTGGTGCCAGCTCCATAAGTCTTCTCGTGGGCTATTTTCTTTACACTCGCGGTCCTCGCGTAGCTACCGTGCCTCGAATTCATCACCGCCGCACCTATTTGCGTCCACCACCAACCAGGGTCTATATAGCTTCGCCACTGTTTACCGGGCCCTTACAACATCGAATCAAATCCTCAGATCGGGGCTTTTCTGCGGCAGGATCTCTGCTGCAGTGTTTCACGTCCGCGAAAATGGCAAGCCATCATTCCAATGTCCTTGGCCGACCGGTCAACGATCAAGTCCAATACAGCTTCATCCCACACCACCCTATCAAATTCGGCCCCGGTCTGCACCTGAGTATCCAGTCGTCCTTTCCATTCTATATCCACCGGAAGATGCATCACGTCGCTTTCTTTGGAGCAACGGGGTACACCGTGTTCAGATGTCTGATGCATGCTCTTCGGGATACGTCAATATTCTGTCATGTGTGTAAGTGACGGATATACCTCTCAAGTCAACACGCGACATAGCATGCCCAAATTCCGTGTTTTCTTAAGGCTCGCATGCCCTACACTCCCCTCTTGTGGATGCTTAGAGTTGACTGCTTCAGATGTCAGGTGCAAGGCAAGTCTCCTGGAGATGTTTGACGACGCGGATGACTTTCAAACGGAATACCTTGGCCGCATGACAGTTGTCACAGCAGACTTGACCCCAGAAACTGCAGCTGAAGCCCTGTTCCCGGAGGATCTTCAAGGAGAGCCCGTACACACAGTTGTCTACGGCATTGGGGGCTTCAGGACTTAGGAGATCTCAGTAGGGGAGGGCGACAAGTGCGACGTCTACATCAGCGAAGCAGGCATTTGTCATATATTCGACGCCTTGCGCATGCGCTTCGCCGCATCTCCGCCGAAACGCAAACCGCGCCTCATTAGCGTCGGTTCTCTTTCCATTGACGAGCAGATCGATGATACTTCCGACCAGCTGGCAACGGAAGTAAGACCTCTTTACTTATGGTTCATGGGGATGGTCAGTGAGGAAGTTCACGACAACGAGATATTTCTCCGGGAGCTGCCTTACGGCAGTGAAGGTAGTGATACCAGCAGCTATGATTCGTCCAGCGAGTGCGACCCAAGCAGCAGTCTGCACAGCAGTATGAGCAGCTTTTTATCTCGAGACTGGGACCAGCCCAAGGTAAACTTTCCACCCAGGACGCCATATGACGACAAGATTGAAATGGAGTATTCAATCAGCGATAAATGCAACAAGGAACTCTACAGTTCCAGTCTGATTGTGAGGCCGACCTTACTTACATACACCAAGCCATATGGAGTTGAGGCAGTACGAGTTGGCCGGGAGGGAAACCCGCAGTCAGGCTGGACAATCAGCAGATTTGACGCCGGCCATTGGCTGTACCGATATGGTATTTGCGGCAGTTTGGAAGGCATTGCTACAATTACAACGTAGACTTGAATTGGCATTCAAAGCAAAGTCAGGTCGAGGTTGAACGATGGCGAGATTGATGGTTTTCATCAGCGGTCATCGAGAATAGCGACACCTGGGCCGTTAGAGATTACAGCGTCAAGTAAACTGAATTATAAGCATCGCTTGCTTTAATAACACATAGTTATCATCCACTTGAGGGGTATGCTGTAGGGAGGATTCAGTTGAAGGGGCAGCAGACCCTAGCTCGTTGTCCATCATGGGCCACCCCAGCGACCAATCTGCAGCTCGGCACTAGCCGCATCTCCCCAGCCACACCAAATCGGCTCAGCTCTACAGACTTGCTATCCGTACTGTTAATCAGGGCTCGCTTACAAGCCACTGTCAATGGCTGAAAATAGCTGGACTGTTGTTTCTTTGCAAAGATCTACGGGGGTAATCCCTACTGGAGAAGGAGGGCCTTGGCTCCTTCGTCTTTGACTAGCCTTGGTTCACATCTGCAAATGAAGTGCCAAGAAGACAAGTCTTGTTGTTGTGATCCTCTACTGGGAGGATTTGCCAGCTGGCCAGCGGCCTGGAGGGAAAAACCAACACGACTCAGGGTCACATTCGGGGGGCCCTTCAAGGCGATGTATCTCCATTTCTGGACGCTTGCGACGGAGGATCGAAGCTTCCTTACTCTATGGGCGGCTCGTCTACATCTTTGAATGATTTCTCGCGTCAACAGAGGCTTCTGGCGTTGATGTGACTTGCAGTGGGGGTATAGCGACAATCCGGTTGATCGGGTCAGCACTCAAGTCCGTGTTGCAGTATAGATGCCTTGGCAAGACGAGAATAACTGTGGACAAGAGTAGTAGCAGCAGCAGTAGCATTAGCGAACTTCATGCGATCCAGAACGCTGGGAGCAGAGGCTTGGGGGGCAAGCCTAAGCCTTGTTCTTGGGTTCGACGGGGCCATGTAACGCTGTTTAGCACCCCCAGGCTGCACTGTAACCAATTCGCATGTTGGAGTCTTGTTTGAAACAGGCAATGCTCGGTGCTGTGAGCGTCTTGCCCTCGCAGTCAGCCATCATTCAGTACCAAGGGCCAGGTGGAGATGGTCAAAGGCAGCGAGAAACGTCGGGGGGGTCCTCCGTGATGGCGAGATGGGGCCACTTTGAATTTCGGCCTGATAAGACTGAGTGGGAAAGATCTACGCTGTCAAGGAGTTGCAAAGACCCTGCCTGAGTCTCAATGCGGCCCCAATAGGCGAAGACAGTGGAGACGGAGGAATTGTCTTTGGAGGACCACCATCTGACCGGTATGACTGTCGAAAGGCCCCGAACTATAGGTGTGAAACTGTAGTTGTCATCAATCTCAGAACGGAGGTATCCTTCGAGATGGTGCATTGGAATTATCACCGAGTACGAAAGTCCTAATAAGACTATGCGAGGGGCTCTTGTTGATTCGTCCCCGAGATCATGCGCAGGTTTACTCTACTTCGAAATGCTTTCCGCATTGGACCGAAGATCGTTGGGATAGTCTCCGGCCGCGTCGAATCCAAAGGGAGAAAGGAGCGGGGACCTGAGAGCATCGGTATGAGGTGATGCGGAGGTGCTCTCGTAAGCCGTGGATGGGCGGCGCGGGATGAGTGAGCGCGCGCTTTCTCGATTTGGACAGTAGGTGGCATGAAGACTCGGCTCTCTTGCGAATATGTTTATGTGAGAGGTCTGGAGTATCGGGTAAGAAGTCGACCCGGGATGGGGTGAGAACCTTGGTGCCTCAAGCACTACACGACTGCACTGTGGTGAGACTCCGGAATGTAGTGTGAGGGGGAGAGCCGGACCACCGAGTAGCCGGAGACACTAGGCGACAGGTGCGTTGTTGAGCTGGCACGGCTGGCGTACCGTGAAGGATGGGGGCAGTGGTGCTGTTGGGTTGCGGTTGCGACGGTCGAGTTGCTGTGACCCTCGTAAAGGATATAGATCTACGCTGGTGAGAAGTTTGTTTGTTGAAGGCTGTCAGGTTGTTGGAAACCGACTGGACTATTTCGGCGTGTCTGGGAGGATTGGGTGGCCGGGGTACACCTACCTACCTCAGGTAAGGGAGGTAGGAGAGGTAAGCTGTGGACGTTGAAAGTAGGGTTCTCGTAACCCGTTTCGCGGCAGAAATAAGCAGCCTGAGTGGCCAGCGTTCGTTGCGGATGGACTTTGGTTCATCCCAAGCCAGGCCTTGCCTCAGGTCGTACTCTTCTTTCATCCGATCTCAAGTGGCTGTCCCGCGTTGTGGCGGCGCTGCTGTGGAACGTATAACGGCTTGGAAGATTGGTGTTGGCCCCGCGGCATCAGGCGTCGAATGCTCGGGATGCCACGACATTGAGACAGACGATTGTTGTTCGGCCCAGGTCGTGTGCAATAGTGCGTGCTTCGATTCTGTTGCGTACAGCGCTGCTGTGGCCCGATGACCCAGCCGATGCACGAAGTCCAGAAGGGGGGCCGTTTCAGCGCTTTGGGGGTTGCAGAAGCCAACGTACATGGCGACCCTGACAAAGGTAGGTCGCCTAAGACGGGCTTTTCGATCAGGCCGTCTTTGATGTGGGCTTGGTCACCCCGCAGGTGAAGGGCCAAGACTCAGGTGGTCTGCTGTGCGGCAAAGGTCCGGGGTGAGGTGATGGAAACGGCAAATGCTAAGAGCTTCGGTGGATGGGAGTGTGAGCAGCTGGGGAGTGTGACGACGAGGTGGGAGAGATGAGGAATCATGGCGAAGGCAATGGTGGACTGACTGGACGGGCTTGCCTTGTGTGTCAAACAATTGGGGGCAGGAAACGTGGGACGCAGATGATGGCAGAGGCAGGAAACACTGTGAGGGCGCTGCTGCCCAGCGGGTGGAGCAGACAGGACCCCCGTACCCTTCCATTTCAGCGACGGAAAAACGGGACCCGCCGACGAGGGGATCTCCCGAAATAGATCCATGTGCACGGCCCATTGGGGTTAGTCACCAGGGATCAGGGGGCGAGGGCCCTGCTCGACGTCATTGACGGAGACGAGAGTCTGGGGAGCATCACCAAGGTATGCCAGTATGGTGCCTTAAGTGCGCTAAAGAGTTTTAGTGATGCTGAAACGAATTCCTTCCTCCGTTTGAAGATATCTCCTCTCCAATGCTTTCTTTCACAAGAATCGCCAACTACTGACTCCCCTCCGCCGAGGTGGTGCGGCCGTATCTAGACGGGAGACGGGGACGAAGGTTTTGTTAGTGTCGGAGGGCACGTTGGTTCATTGTAGGTGTTGGTTTACTCTACTTGAGAAGTTACACATTGGCTGGATTTCTTCCCGTTCCTCAAAACCTTTCTGCTAAGCACCTGGGTTTTCAATAACAGGACCGAGTCCGAGGAATCCGATGTGCCCCCAAAAGCCCCCCCTAGTCATGCCTGATGATGATCAGAGTCGAGTTGCATGTACATAGCAGCAGCTCCTTTGGTTGGATGCAGCGGTGATCATGAACACCCAGCATCCAGGGCTGAGGCTGAAGACCTTGGGGGACTATCACATCATGCGGCTCCAAGATGGGCTCTTGCCTTTCTCCATCTAGGTCGGCCGCCGTGACATCGTCAGTTTCTTGAAAGTTTTGGTCCACAGAAGCAGTTGAGTGCATGCGCATGCGGCAACCTTGAAAGCCCCTCCCGTCCCCTTCTGCTTTCCTCCCTTGCTTGCAGAACCGGGGCACGGAGGGGTGCCCAGAAGTCAAGGTTGGCCCTCTTGGCGACTAGGGTATGTTCAGGCAGAAACTTTCTTTCGAGCGTGAGTCCGAATCGTCCACTCGGCGTGAGAGATAATGCAGGGGTGTTTATCGGACGTGGAGGTAACTGAATAATTGAAGGGAAGTTGTTCACTCCGTTGCAATAAATCCATGCTGAAACAAAACGAGAGAAGATTGCCGCAATTCGTGTAATCTGCGGCCTCGCTATGTCTGCTTTTGGGTGATGCTGACATAGCTCGCCTTTGATGCCGAATGAGAACGAAAGTTCTCTTTGCGTTGTTGCAATTGAGTGTGGCTGAACAGGGGCGGAGGGGAAGAGGGTGGCCTGATGCGAGAGACCCACTTCGGACCCGCGACCGGGCTCCGCTTTCTGACCGGCATCGGCACCCGGCGCGGCTGCCTTGGCCACTTCCCGTTGAGGAAGTTGCGGATCCCGTAGTAGGTAGGTACTGCTGCACCTCGCCTCTGCGGATTTCGGCCATCAGGCAAATGTTTCTCGAAACTAAAAGCTCGGCTGTCTTTCAGGACAAAATCTTCGATTGCAGTCAATGGCGAAGTAAGGTGCTGCCTGGTCGAGAAACAAACTGGCACACGAAGCGAGCCGTTCATGGAGTGAGCCCCAGTAGTTTCCTCATTGCGCGACTATCCTGGTGCTCATTGGCTTTCGCGCGGTTAGGCGACAAATCACATCATCGGGAGGAAGCACGCCACACACGTTCTACTTCCAGGTTTACATCCTTCTCCGTCTCGCTTGTGAAGGAAGGATTCAGAAAACGGCATGGTATTTACGGTGAATTCTTGGTCACCCGTCATTTATTTCCTGGTTCCTCTCAAAACTCTTCAACGTTTCTAACGGGAGCCCTCCTCCCTCGCGAATCGTACCTAATTAGCCAATTCTGGATGGCTGCCCCTCCCGCGCATTTGCCACTAGGGGAAAAGCGCGCGATCCTCTCACAACCGTCGTGCTCCTCCCTCTTCCTCTCTGCGCTTGTGAGCGGGAGGAATGGGATACAGCCACGCGGCAATTAGAAATAGAGGCGAGAAAACAGCGCGCCAAAGATAACGCTTATCATCCTGTTGTGGTTCAGGAGCCGAGACTAGGAAGGCCGATTCCGGCACCTGGCGGTGCGTTGGTGAAATATCGGAGGCTCTCATACTAAGGTAAATTGGGTCATCCACATCATCTTGGGCATGTCGAAAATCCCCCAATTCAGTTGCAACGAACTCCTCCGTCAATCTGTGGCGAGGGCTGCGAGACTTCCAGTGCTAGCTAAGAAAACACATAGGTATCTCATAAAGCGCGCAGGGATTGGATCAAGCATTGATAGGCAAAATGCCAAGCAATGGTTTGACTTTGTCACTGCAGTAAAACCAGAGCCCTGGCCAGCGAGAGTTCCATCTCGAGCACGTGGGTGCTAGCAGGAAAGACCCAGTTGTCCAGAAGCTTGTCACTAGAGATCAGCAGAAGCAATGGCCAGCCGCCGCCCTTTGTCGGGACTAGACGTATCTTTCATTTTCCACTTTCAAGAAAGCTTTCGTCCGGGTCTCTGGATGTGAGCTCCGAAAGAACCTTACCTGCCTGCCTATCTCTTGCTGTACAGCATTGCCGCTATCATCAGCCGCCCGCGCGCCTGCGTCAATCGTATTCCTATCCCGGTTGACAGAGATCGTTTAAGCACATACCGGATTGCCTCTAAACATGAACTGCACCGCCTGCCCTCGGGGAGAACAACACAGCTCACCGGTTACCGTATCCGTTCCAAAGCTGGCTCTTTCTGCAAGTTCGCTCCCATAGGATTCCCGAGGTGTAGGTCAGTACCGCCCTTCTTACCTGCCTACCTACATATCCGGTTGCTGACCAGCCCGGCTCGGGTGACGGCGGTGGCGCTCCTTCACTTACATGACTTGGGAATCTCACGGTCAGGACGACCTTCATGATTCATGTGCCCTTCACGTTTAGATAAGCAGTGCTTGGCATCCTGCTTGTTGGATGGCTGATACGATGAATACGATTGACGAGACTACCGCCGTGGCGCACCCTTCTCGATTAGACGCGCCTTCAATCGCTTGCCGTAGGACTCTCAAACGTTAAACTAGCGGTATTGGTTCTTCCAGTTAGGTGTGCATTAGGTTTACAAGTACGGAATATTATGAAACTCAATTTTCGAAAGTTCCGTATATTTCTATCTTGGGGGTCGTGGTTTGAAGCACACTGTGTTTGGGTCTTAGTTTGGCTTCATTTCCATCTAGCATCTACTCTATTCCATCAGTCACAAAACGGTATTGAATTTCTTCTGGTATGATAAACGGCTTATAGCTTGAGTGTGTATGTTCCATGGCTACAACTCCACAGGCTCACAGAAGATGTGTCTTCCATAACACACAAAGGGAGAAATGAAAAGGAACCAAGCCAAGTACCACACAGAACCCACAAAGGGAAGCGAGTCTTCCCCCACGCCCCGAATCCTTCTCTTCTCTCCCCCCACCCCCCCTTCCAAATCCTTCGAATCCTTCCCGTCCAACCATCTCAGTTCTTCTCCTCCGAGAGATCTGACACCGTGTAAGATACGTACTTACTCTCCGGAATATGTGCACACCTTACTCAAGATGATCCACTTCCCTCCCGTACGATCCCTACCGCATCCCGGCCCCCCCCCCGGTATCCACAAAACGGATTCGGACCCTTGCTCGCCGACGTTGCACTAGGAATGACTGCATGTCTGTTGCGTTGGGCTGAGTGGCCCGCGGTGCACAGTAAGGTAAACTTTGGGATTTGGATTTTTTGCTGCTGCTGTCTTGAACTATGTCTCCAGCTGCCAAGCCCTACAATCCGTCCAATTCCAACACATAATTCTGTCTCTGGTTCTCGCTCTTCCTAGCGCCTTTTTCCCTTGGCGCTCCCAGCAGATGGCGAGCCAATGCAACCCTCATTCTTCGCTCCCTTTCCAATTTTCGTACCATGTTTCTTCCTAGCTGTCCCCCATTCGTTCTGCTTGCTCAGAAAGTAGCACATTGTGTGAGTGAAAGAAAAGAAAGAAAGATAGGATGTGAAAGAAATGTAAGCCCGGAACCTCTTGAACGCCGAATTGTTGTCAATATGCCCAACCCCGCCGAAACCATCTAAGCCATGGAATGTGAAACAAAAGGAGATCAAGAAAAAAAGGAAGAATGCCTTGCCGGCGAATGAAGGCTGCCTGTCTGCCCGTCTAGTTGGGAGCTATGCAGTGAATAAGGAAGAAGCTGTTGAAGACACGGTCCCGTTCCAAGGGACCCCCAAATGAAATCGATCCTGTACAAGGGAGTAAGGGGGTGTGTTGTCTGGCTCGCTCCCCTTCGAGCCCAATGCAAGAAATACCAAGAAAATGGCAAGGGGAGTAAAGAAAAGAAAACCATTCTTCATCAAGTCATGAATAAAGACGAAACAAGAAAGATGGAAAGGCATACGGATACTTCCAACGCATCACATTCTCCCCATCATTTCTTGAAATAGTTGTAAAACATGGCGTCCATGTCGCTCCCCACCGCGGCCGCTGCCGCAGTCATCCCCGCATCGTGACCGCCGCCACCACCACCCATGTCGTTCACAGACGGCCACTCCCAGTTGGCCGCCGCCCCCATGTCAAAGTCGACGAGCATCTGCCCGCCGCTGTGGTCAGGGAACCAACCCGCCGCGCCAGCCTGGCAGTCCACCAGGTCCGCGAGCGTGAGGTGGTGATCCCCCGTCGGGGCCCCCAACGCCGCGGGGTCCATGACGTGAGCGAACAGCTCGTCTGCGGCGCGCCAGTCATGCTGTTGCTGTTGCTGTTGGTGCTTGTTGTGACTGTGGCTGTCTCCGGGGCTGAAAGGGTTGAACGGGGTCGCGAGCTCGCTCGTCGAGGTCATGGAGTCGTCCGCGGACGAAGACGACGAGACGGACGGCATCATGGACGTGTCCATGGGGCTGATGAAGGACGAGGCCGAGTCCACGGCCGTCGGGGCCCCCGAGAACGGGTGGTCGTGGTGATGCTGGGGCGGGGTATGCGGGAGGGAGGAGTTGCGGCGCGACATGGAGTGCGTCGTGGTGGACGAGGAAGATGCGTACGAGTCGGAGCGCGCGTGGTGGCTGATGCTGATCGGGATGCTCATGCCGCTCCCCGTGCTGTTCCTGTTGCTCTTGCTGCTGCTTCTGCTAACGTTGCCGCCGAACGCGCGCATGACGGCCTTGAGGTGCTTCTTGATGGCGCGGACCTGACCGCCGGGGGAGAGGAAGTCGGAGGCCGCGATACCTAGGAGGCGGGATGCCAGGGCTTCGAGGCGGCCTTCGTAGACGGCAATCATTTGCGGCTCCATGTTGAGGACGCCGGCTTGCTTTTGCGCGTAGATGAAGGAGAGGCCACGGGCGCAGGTGTCTAGTGCCAGGCAGAAGACGTCGGGGAAAGAGTTTTTGCTTTGTGCGGGCATGATGACGGGGCCTTCTTGCGATGTCTGCTCCGCGATCTGAAGCATGATTCCCACGAGCTCCTGCGCTGAGCCGATGAAGCGCTCGACGGTCTCGGCCGTGAGGGAAAAGGGCTCTGCCGGAGGCGGGGCGCCGGGGAGGATGGCCGGGAAGAGGAGGTGGATGGCCATGGTGTGGTACACTGACAGCACGAGGGAGCGGGAGGGCGCGTGGGCAACCTGGCGGTTGAGGAGGTGGATGCTCTCCATCAGGACACGGTAGACCTCGCGGCAGACGCACTCCATGTCCTGGGGCGTGCTGCCCTGCTGGATGCGCTGGAGTGCGAGCAGGGGCGCCTCCTGCCAGAAGTTGGTGCTAACCGTCTCGTTGGGGTCGGGCTCCTGCGGGTAGAGGGCGAAGATGTAGGCCGTGATGGAGGCGATGTGGGCGAGAGGCCACATCTCCTTGATCATGCTCTTCTGCTTCTGCAGCGTGGAGAAGTTGTCTGAGACCTCGTCCAGGCGCATCAGCACGGACGAGGTCTCGTCGACGGGAAGGAAGATGGAGGTGAGGCTCGTTGGGAGGAGCTGCGAGAAGTGGGTGCCCATTTGCAAAAAGGTCCAGAGGGTGAGGGTGTAGGTCGTCCAGTAGAGGTAGGCGACGATCTCCTTTTCGACCTCGCAGACGTCGATGCCGTTGATGCGGCTCGTCGTCAGGGGCGCCGAGGAAGCCGAGATGGTGTCCTTGATCTCGGTCGCCAGGCGGCCGGAGAGACCGATGTAGCACGTGGCGCGCTTGATCTGCCCTTGACAGAGGCTGTTCCAGCCCAGGAGCATGAGGACCTGTGCCGTGCTGATGCCGGGGAGAGAGATGCCGGCGCCGGGCATGCCCGGTTGGCTGACCCGGGTTGAGATGGGTCGGTTCTGGAGTTGGGCTGAGGCCCATCGGAGGAGGACGTGTCCTCGTGCCATGGCAACTTCGTCGCCGAGAGAGAAGGAGGCGTCGGCGAGGATCACTGCCAGAAGGACCTCGTCGTGTGTGCCGTCTCTCAGTTCGCGAAGAAGAAGGGTCTTGGAAACGAGGAAGGAGAGAGGGTGGACGCTGTACCACACGTCGACCAGCTGTCCAATCTGTCGAGTGCCGTAGTCGGTCAAGGGGCTCGGTCCTGTCGGTGTTGTATCGAACATTGATGGTGTGGCGTCGCTCGCGAGTCCTGTGAGATAGAATCTACCGCCGCCCTGTTCCATGAAGATGGATCCCAACCCGCCAAACTTATCAACTACAAGACCGACTAAGTCGTGAGTGAGAAGCTGCAAGATGCCGGTGTACTTGAGTCAAGTTAGCTTCGTGCAATCCAGAAGGGAGTCTTGGACCCATACCTTGACATCCCGATGACTAAACTTCGAGTTGACAACATTCTCGCTACGATCTTGTAAAGTCAAGCGCAGAGTCTGGTTGTACGCCGATATCCTCTCCTGCCACGGGTTCGACTTGGGTCCAGGCGTCGGGTTCTCGCCGAAGTTTTCGATAAACATGCTGTTGAGCATGGTAGCCACGTCTTCGCCGCCGCCCATGAGGGCCACGGGCGCCGCACCACCGGTACCCTCCATCTGTGCAGGCTCCTCCATAATGGTCGTGGAATGCGGCGAACCACCCGTTGAGGCTCGCTGGCGCTGTTGTACAGGGACGCCGGTGCTGTCGCCGCCGGTGCTGTTGTTTCTGCTCATGTCTTGGGATACGGTGCGGGTCTTTGGCGGCCGCGAGTCCCAGTCGTAGACGCAGTCGACATTTTGCTTGCGGCAGGCTTCGCAGATGGTCTCGTTGCTGCACTTGATCTTGCGTGCGCGGCAGAAGCTGCAGCTCTTGCGGAGCGGGTGTCGGGATGTGAGAGACATGATGGGGTATAGTTGTCTAGGTTTCGGGAGTTGATAAAGAAAGAGGGAAACGATATTATACAATACACATTGGTTCTATTTGTACAATAGTATATTGATACCAATGCAGGAGGAAAGCGAGAGATAGATGGTGGGTTATTGGATTGAGCCGCCGCCGACTACGATTGGTGGTAGTCCGGATAGATGAGGGAGGCTTGAAAGGCTTGAAGTAGAAAAGAGGGAGTCTTGAAAAGCTGCGTCACTCGTCTTCTTCAACCCTTTCGTCTGCAGTGGCAAAGTCTGATACCAACATGGTCCATTGTCGTGGTTGGTGGTTTCTTTGAGATGTTATAACTTCAGTCTGCAGAGTAAGCCAGTGTTGGAATAAGATGAGACGAGGCAAGGTACCGTTGAAGGATGCAAACTGGGGTTAGAATGCACAGTGTCGGGGAGGCTTCGAGGGGGGTGAACAGTCAACGGAGGAGGTGTTGATGTAAGAAGGGGGGTGTTTTGCGGTTGACCATGGGGTGCGACTTTGGGAAACTGACAATGTACATGTAAATTTTACTCCCATCAGCAAAAGCCCATCAGGTTTGGACTTTGTGTGGTTGTGGTTGTGGGACGGGCTTTTCGACTTCGCACATGTTTACATGTACCCGACTTACTCTGCCTCAATCTTACTAGTCTTGGGGGCCAAAAGTCGGCAACTCGAGTCCGACTCCAAGACGAGTTAGCCGACCTTGTCGCGCTTGCTGCGCCGCCCTCAAGTTATGCAAAAAGCTGCACAACAACAACAAGCGCGGAGGTACATGAATACTTTGAGGCAGCGACAAGAGTCCTTTTGCAACTGCGTGTATTCACGGGTACTCCTGCAAGTCAAAGTCGTTATCCAGCCAGAATAGTCTTAGTGTAATTGAAACCCCTGCCTCTCGAACGATATCCCTGTTCCCCCCACGCAGCGCGAAAGACAAGAAAAGACCGACTTTATGAGCCCGCCCGTGGCTGTGTGTCTTGTCTTTCCCCTCCAGGCACCCGCTGAATCCGATCCAACAGCTATTCGTAATAGAACTTTCGGGCGATTACTCCAGAATGAGTGAAACATCAATCTTGAACAACTGCATTCCCAGAAGAGATAGACCCATACGAGCTAGGCAGAATAATAAACGTTCTTCTCTCACTCATGTCTTTGTCGATGCAAAGTCTAAATGTGGTACAGTGGGTTGGAACCCATACAGAAACTCGAGAAACCATAGCCAGGCGCCGCCGGGCAGAAAAGCATAGATCAACCACCGCAGCAACGGTCCAATGCCGTAGGGTAGAAAGGCTCCGTGTAGTAAAATAAAGCGGAAACTGAACTTGACCACTTCCTTTGCCCTCTTTTCTCGCATCTGGCTGTACTTCTGGAGGACTGGTTCTACTTTCTGCTCCAAAGACCCTCGATTTTCCTGGATTAGGCTAGCCAGAACCGCCGCATCTTCAATTCTGCGTTTGGAAACACCTCGGATTAGCATCTTCAATCACATTCGCGTCTCAATCTCGATCTCAAGCATGGGGAAACTCACGCTAGGTTTCCGCCCTGGCCACTGTTCAAGAAAGTTGCCAAAAGTCAGTAAAATGCCGTTGGAACTAGGGAGAGGAATGGTTGGGAAAGCCTTTCCCGGGGGAGCAGCCCCAAGCTAGATGCTTAGCTTCCAGACTAGGCTCCGTGATCTGCAACGGAGGGATTTTGAGAGGGGCGCGCGCGTTTCCGCAAATACGTACAAGGCACTGGTCATGCTGTGCGCGGCTGTTCCAACCAGTTAGCGGGTTCAATCCTCCATCACAAACAACCTTTGATGAGAATCATGGAAAGATAGGGAAGACAGAAGAGGAAGAGCTTACAGTCGCCGATAAGACAGACTCTGCCTCGGGCCATTGAAGGGAACTCAACTTCTTGGAACATATTGCAGGCAAGGATACGCTCGTTCTTTTCGACAACTAGAACAACAACACGTCAGATTTGGACGTTCCTTCAAGCCACCCGGCAATGTCGTCAGCGAAATGGGAGGGATTCAGCTTTCTGACTTACCATCTCTAAACTCTCCTTTCTCCGCGAACGGGTGGAACTTGTCTCCGTAGACTGAATTGATGGTATCTTCGTCACAGTTACTCCAGATAGACCGATCATTATCAACCTTCTCGTCGGTTTTCTGTTTTGTTGCCAAGATTAGCTGAGGGCCACCCCTACCGGCATGCGTAGGAGTACGGAGGACTTTTCGTACCGTGACGCCGATAAACCATTGTCGGTTGTCGGGGCATGGCCAAGTTGTGAGAGTCGAGTTTTCGTAGAGCATCCAGTTGGCGACACCGAGGTCCTGAGTACTAAGATGGTCCAGCGGAGCAGTGATGCCACTCATGTGGACACGCCCTGTAAACTTAATGGTGTTGGCCTCCTTGAGGCCAGCGTCTCGAGCCAGGCATCTCCGGATAACAGACCGTATCCCATCAGCACCGACGACGACGTGAGCCCGGAACTTCTTCCCCTCGTCAGAGACCACCCTGACGAAGGACTCGCCCGGATCGTCAATGACATCAACAATCTTTGTGCCGAACTGCACGACATCACCGCCTCCCGCAGCATCAAAGAGTAGTCTGTGAAAGTGGTGACGCTCCAAGGACATGACCGGATACCCGAACTTGGCCTCGCAGCCCGCCCAGTCCACCGTATTCCAGAGCTTATTACTGCGCCAGATTTGCACTTTCCGCAGCTTCTGGCCCGCTTCCAGCACTTTCTCGTACACGCCGAGTTGATCGAGCATGCGGAGGCCGTTGGGCGAGAGCGAAATGCCCGCGCCGACGGGGCGCAGCACGTCGCTTCGCTCGAGGACCTTGCACGAGATGTCGAGGCGCGAGAGGATGGCTGCCAGCGTGAGACCGCCGATGCCGGCACCGACGATGAGGACCTCGGCGTCGACTGGAGATGATGACATGGTTGAGAATGGGGAAGGATGCGGGACTTAGGTATGTAACGTTCCCCCTCGAGAGGATGATGATGATGTCTGAGTTGCCTGTTTGGCGCTTCCCCTATAGTGTCGGGCCGAACGAAGGATGATAGGTTTCTATATGAGCAGTGGAGTTCCATCGGCTTTCATGGCAGTTGAGAGGCGTCTTATGTATTATTCACTCAACGTGTCTCGAAAGATCGCGGTGAGATCCAATCATAGGATAGAGACGCCACTGTCTATCCGCGTTCCTTCGGCATTCAACTACCCAGGTGCCCCGGCCGTCTTGGAGCGGAATAATCGACGAAAAAGATGGGCTAAGAGCTAAGACGGAAGTTTCTAAGGCTTAGGCCGGCCGGGTCTGTTCTTTATTAGACTTGGTGGACTGCGATGTGGATTCCGGCTCCGGGGGCTGTGCCGCACCGTTCCGGACAGGACCTCAGCGGCGGCCGGTCCGTTAGTTCGAGGGGTACGCGGAGGTGCAGGGGAACACGTAAATATCAAAACAGGCATCAAGTCATGTTCTTCAACTCTCGTGCCGGAAACTGCTAAGAGTGCCGCATCACACTGGTGACGGAATTCCCTAATCAAACGAGCTTGGAAATTCCCCATTTAACTGGAGATTGAAATTTCCCTGCTGCCTTGATTACTTCTGTTCTGATTTTAGTCTACTTGCCCTAGAAATTGACGATGCTAAACCAAGCAACTCTCGAGTCCGGTCCTGGTAAGTCATATATGATCAGATATGGCAGTCCATTCAAAAGAACCTCTTTGTAGCAATAGCAGTCAGGTTTGCCTCGAGTCTCATTAATCGCTTTAGACATCTCTCAACTACTTCCTTGAGGGTATCCAGGTGTCAAATACGACTCTCCATCGCGACTTCAACCAATTTCTTGTGCTGCGACAATATTTTCCTACTCAAATATCTTGATCTACCAAAACATTGCTATTTCCAAGAGACCCTGAATTGTTTACTTAGCGCTGTCGCTTTTCGTGGTTGTAGAGGCGTCAGAAGGATGAGGCAGTGCTCCAGCAAGCGGCACGGTGACTGGGAACTTCGATGGAAAGCCACTGATGCTTCATGGTTACAGTGATCATTCTAAACCGAAGGAACTTTGTAATCATTCGAAAACAACGCCGTATTCCGTAAGGCAATGTACACGAACATTGGAGATCAACTTAGGGGATGGGGAAGCCAGCCCCCCAGGAACCCAAAAAGGCGACTCCCGTTCGGGGCCGGGCCGGGATCCACTCTTTCCGGATAGATTCCCACATGGATCCGGCAGTTCTGAAATTAGAAACAGTCGGTGCCTGCTCGCTTCTTGAATAAGCCCCAATGCCGCTTTGAGCAGAGATCTCCCTCAAGCCACCAGGAATCTCCCAGATACACTGCTGTGTAGGGGCATGCACGATCCATCCTTGGGGAAACGACCAAGATATCGCGAAAAGAACAACCCGTTTCTGAGTATTATTGGGTCACACCTCTACAAATCTGGATATTCTACGCCGTTACTCCACAAATATGCATTCTAGCACTCAACTCCCACGCGAGAACCGAGGGTTCGATTCATTAGTCCTGAGGTGACCCCATGGCCTTCAGGAGTACCTTATGCCGAGGGCCTGACTTCGTCAATCCCACGAGCAGTCGAATATGACACAGACTGGATTGCCTACCACTGGATCTCAGCGATACCGACCTGAAGGGTCTCAAAGTTCTGGAGCAACCGTTAGTACCACGGACATCATCACTGACGGAATAATATGGCGGAAACATACCATAATAGCGACCTTGTCCTTGAAGAACGTCTCGCCAAAGTTTCCAATGAACCTGTCGCCGGTCGCCATGGCGCGCACATTCAGAGCGCACCTCCCGTCCGGCAGCGTCTCGACGTAGTGCTTCGGCGTGTTGGTCCAGACCTTGTCGTGTCCAGCAAACTTGTAGCTCACGGTGGGGAACGAGGCGACGTTGCCGCAGTCGACGGAGTACATGGACTGGTTGCCGTTGTTGATGATGGTGGGGTCCTCGAGCGTGAGCGGCTG